ATAATGTTTGAACTTTCTTCTTGTTTTGACTTGTAGGTAGGGATGGTGAATGAAAAAAAGTAACGAGGATGAAGCTAAAGTGAGTGTTGCAAACTTGTGCAAAAGACCCAGAATGACATCCATTCAAAATTAACACAAGTTTGCAGCTTTCACATCAGTTTGGACCCGCTTTCATTGTGGATGCCACTTTGGGACACAAATGTTTCTGAAACATTCTATTAGTTAATGTGTTGTTGTCGTTGTTATTAATAAAAGTTGTATGTTGTAATTTGTTTATGCTATATGTTGATAATTTTTTGTTTTGTTTTTAATAAGAGTTGCTTGTTGTATCTTGTATGTTGTTTAAGGTTTATTGTTAATGAATATTATTGATGAATGTTATTTTTAATATATATTTTTTTTAAAACATGAGTTTATTATATCTTATATGGTTTGAGTGTTTTTCCAACCTCCTACCGAATATATAACTTTTCAGATTGTATTAGAAAATTATAATATAATAGATAAATTTATATTAGAAAACAAATTACACGTTCAATTCTAGAGAAGAATTCTCCAGCCCATTATCTGCATTTCGCTCTTTAACCGTTAGAACTATGTTTAATGCTTCTAGTTTTCAACTTAAGTGGCTTGATGAAAATGTCGGCAACTTCCAGGAAGAAACTGAGACCCGTTCATGGCATACAACCTTGAAGTGTGAGAAAGTTTATTTTACCTTTTTCAAGTGGAATACTGGATTAAAGAAGAAACTGAGACCCATTCATGGTATACAACCTTGAAGTGTGGGGAGGTTTATTTTACCCTTTTCAAGTGGAATACTTGATCAAATAAGAAGCTGAGATCTGTTCATGGCGTACAATCTTGAAGCGAGGGGAGGTTTATTTTACCCTTTTCAAAGAAGAAACTGAGACTCGTTCATGACATACAATCTTGAAGTGAGGGGAGGTTTATTTTACCCTTTTAAAAGAAGAAACTGAGACTCATTCATGGCATACAACCTTGAAGCGAGGGAATGTTTATTTTACCCTTTTCAAGTTGAATACTTAATCAAAGAAGAAATTAAGATCCGCTCATGACATATAACCTTGAAGCGAGGGGAGGTTTATTTTATCCTTTTCAAGTGGAATACTTGATCAAAGAAGAAACTGAGACTCGTTCATGGCATACAACCTTGAAGCCAGGGGAGATTTATTTTACCCTTTTCAAGTGGAATACTTGATTAAAGAAGAAACTGAGACCAGTCTATGACTTATGACTCGAGGTGTGGGGAAGTTTGTTTACCCTTTCTAAATCAATCATGTAGTTAAAGAAGAAGCTTAATCATATTTTGATCATGGAAGCTTATTTTGTCTATTACCTTTACTTAGGCTATCATATGTTTGATAGTGGATAATATACCGTATCTTTTTGGTCAGATACCTTTGCTTAGGCTATCGTGTTTGGTAGTAGGTGATCTCTCCTTTCAAATCTATTACCTTTGCTTAGGCTATCATGTACTTGATAATAGGTAATATATGTTATTTTATTTCAACTGGATACCTTCACTTAGGCTACCATCTGTTGGTAGTAGGTTATCCATCTTTTTAAGTTTCTTGCATATTGTTTAGGCTACCATGTTCTTGTTAGTAGGCGATACACACCTTTGTTCTATTTTAGAGATACCATGTGTTTAAGCTATCCCCAGTGGTGGCTAAGTGCCTTTTCCCCGGTGGAGTTGAGTCTCATCCCTATTGGAGTTGGACCTTTTCCCGTGGAATCTTGCTAAGTTGTTCCTCGTCGGGCCTTTCTTTCTTTAACTATGTTTTAGTGTTTTCTGTATGCAGTTATCCCCTGTGACGTCATTTCTCACAAGATTTTTGTCTTACATATCATATCATATCATAAGCATTTTGTGGCGTCTTAGGGCCAAAAATGTGAGGTTAGAAAACTTGGCTAGCAGTTTGGTACACTCTACTTCGTTATGCCATACATTGTAATGGATCAATGAACCTTTCTTTGGGAAAAGAGGTTTTGGGTTAATCTGAATCAAACTAAACTGTCGAGAGACAATATTTGGTTGATAGTTTACAAGAGTAATTCAGAGTTTGGAAGGATTGAGCCTCGAAGCTAATAATCTTGGCGTCAGGAAGGATTCCCAAATATCGAGAGATTCTCCTTCTTGTTCCTTCGATTCAGAAGGAAAACTCCTTGTAAACCATTAAGGGTCCACTTTCCTATTTTAAAAGGGGCCATGTTGGAAGTGAAATGGTGACGTTTCACAAACATCATTACGTAACTGGTGAATGTTTGCTGAAGACTCATTCCTTCATCATTGGGAGTCAACAATGCAAGCCTTGTTCCTTCGACTCTTCTATCTTTTACAAAAGCTTCGTTGACGGGGTTTCGACCAGGAAGCGATGCTTCGAAAGTGGCATTTAGCCATGGCTGTAGTAGCTAGAAAGGTCCAGAGAGGAACAAGTTTCCTTTCGTCTTGATTGTCTTCAATGTCGTGACGCCTTCCCCAAGGGATTCATACATATTGACCAAGATAATTTCGATGAGACAGAGGTCACGTCCAACATGCAATTGGTTAAGTACCTATTCGCCACTTGAAGAGACATTGAATAGAAAACACAACACAAAATCCAGAGAGCCAAAAAGGAAACATGTTCTTGGTCGGAAACCTCTATGGTTTCTTTATCATGGGAATAGGCTATGTAAGTGGTGAAGGCTGCTTTGCTAGTGTCGAAACCTATTGAGTCATCAACTAAGAGATTGGGGTCATAATCTACTCCAATGGGTTTCAAGCCAGTAATGGCAGCTACGTCGAATAAAGTTGGGGTAACCATTCCACAAGGGAGATGGAAGTTGTTATAAGTGTTGTCCCAGAAGTAAAGGGAAGCAAGGAGCATCGAAGGACAATAACCTGGTCCTACTTTCGACAATTGAGTAAGGTCATAAATGCCCATTTTCTTCCAAACTTGGGAATTGGCTTTTTCTATCTTTTCTAGACAAGCTAAGTAGTCAGAAGGGTCTTTCGACAGAGGGCATGATCTTAAAACCTTAAAATTATTATTCATGTACTCTAAGTTGATGGTGTCCCTAGAGGCTATGGTCGAAGGTGAACCTTGGGCGTCTACCTTAGATTTTTCATCAATCAGAACTTCCTTATCAGTTCTAGGTCTTACACCGTTTGCTATAGGTTTATAACGATGATAAGCTGGAAAAAAACTCCCAAATTTTAACATGGCATTGGTTTTACCAGATATAAGAATAGGGATAAGTACCCGGGATTGATAAATCCTGCGTTTTTCTTCCTCATTTGGAGGTTCGGGGATGTATTACTGATTTCCAACCACGTTTGAACTTAACATCCTGTGAACTGGGGCGGGTCCTTTTGACTTTTGGGAGTCTTTTGTTTTCTTGCTGGTTTCCTTGGAAGTTGCTGAAGCAAAAGCCATTGTTGCAACGAGTGTAGAGAAAATTTAGGAGAAAGATGAAGTTTGAAGATGACGCGGTTTAAGAAATTCAGAAAGTGAAAAGAAAAAGTAAAATGATAAATTTCTCTCTCTTTTATAGGTGAACTGAGGTGAAATGGTTACTATGTACGACTAATGTACCTTATTAATGGTGACAAGGTCGTGGGACACGTGTTGTTTGGAGACGGTGTGATGAGACGGTGTCAGTTAAGTTTCTGAACCACGATCTCCTAGAGGCTAGCAATGTGATGATTGAAAAGATTTAGGCGTAGGAGTGAAGAGACATTTCAGAAAAGGTGTCATGATGACCTTGACGCCACAATTATGCTGAGTCATATGAACAGTTTATGACGCTGAATTGTATATGGCGTCGAATCATGTTATAAAAAATGCCTTTTTTCCCATTAGGTGTCGGAAAGGACATTTTTGGAGGGAAATTTGTTGGCTCTTAATTTCGATGCCTGGTTTAATTCATGTAACAAATAAGAGAAAATGAAATTTTTGCCAAGTTATGATGAATTTTGAATAGGTAAGTTCGATGTTGGAAGCTCAGCCGAAGACGTTTCTTACGAAAGGAAAGATGACTAAGTGGACTTAGGAAAATTTCCTAAATATTGAAATGGTATTTCGACGGGATGTTATGGATGTTATTTTCGACTTGAATTTTGAATTTGAATCAAGGAGGGAATGTTGTCCTTACCCAGAATTCAAAAGAAGGACACATGGAGTACGTTGGGAAGTCGAAGGCATGCTGAATGCCATTTGTCTTCTTTTCAGAGAAAATCCGTTATAGGCAGTTGTTTTGATTCAATATACATAGGAAGTTTTAGTGTTAAGAATTTCGTATGTATTTAAGTTTGTACAAAATCACTCAAATACTCAAAGTACCCGTGTGTAGAGAAACGAGTTTGTTGAGAACATGTACGTTTGATAAACACTCGTTATTTGCTTACATTTTAATAAAAGTTAGTTTATACTTTTACCCAAAAATTACTCTTTATTTTTATGCAAGTTACTTTTTGTTTATTTTATTGCGTTTTCGATCCTTCTTTTGTCATAATCCTTTTTATTTCATTGAAGCAAACTATTTTCTAAACATGAATGTTGTTGAAGCATTCATTATTTTTCAAACATTAAAATAAAAACACTAAGCACATGTCCTAGAATTCACGGGTTGATATTGCACGTTAACTAATATTTGAAGGTCCGCGATTATATACTATTTTTCATGGTAAATAGATACCCCTTTGATTTATTGTATCGGAGATTAAAAACATCAGTTTAAAATCAACATCTCCGCTTCAAAAAGCACCCTAATCACAATTTTCAAATCGTTTAAAAAACTTCCCTGGATTGCTAATTTTCGCAATTCTATCTATTTTTTATTCTACTAGGAAAAAGGTTTAATAGAAGGGAATTTTTTTTTTTTTTGAGAAATCCAACGTTAAATTCTGAAAGGAAAATCTAAGGTTACAGCCGAAACCAGCATGATTTGGGCTCTGGTCGTGTCGCGCATCCACCCTCTATCATCGCAAACCTTCCATGGGCATAGCTTCGTCAACACTTACCAATCGTAACTTCATCACTCGCACAAAATCTCCAATGCCACCCAACATCACACTCAAACCCTCTTCATCTTCATCTCCATTCAAAAGCCTCACATTTCCCAAAAACAACAAAAAACCACCCAACCCAATACCACCCATTGACCACTCTCACCTCTCACAACTCCTCTCCAAACCCAATTCCGATTGGGTCATTTTACTCAACCACGAACTCCATTCAAAAAAACTACTCCTCACACCCCCTTCACTCTCAACCATCTTCCAAAACATTCAAAACCCATTACACTCCATCAAATTCTACACATGGGTTTCCTCCATCAACTCTTCATTGGCAAACACCTCTTCCATTCACCGCATTTTAGGTAACACCTTACACAGAAACGGCCCTGTGATTCTTTCTGCTGAGTTTCTTAACGATGTTCACAAATCAGGTTTTAGGGTTACTGAAGATTTGTTATGTGTTCTGATGAGTAGTTGGGGGAAACTTGGTTTAGCTAGATATTGTGTTGATGTTTTTGGTCAAATTTCGTTTATGGGTATTGCTCCAACTACTAGGTTGTATAATTCTCTTATTGATGCATTGGTTAAATCAAATTCTATTGATTTGGCTTATCATAAGTTCCAACAGATGATTGGTGATCATTGTTTTCCTGATAGGATTACTTACAATATTCTTATTCATGGTGTTTGTAAGATCGGTGTTGTCGATGAGGCACTTCGTTTGATTCGACAAATGAAGGATAAGGGACTTTTTCCGAATGTTTTTACTTACACTATATTGATTGATGGGTTTTGTAATGCTAAGAGGGTTGATGAAGCTTTTGGGGTTTTGGATAAGATGAAAGAGAGTAATGTTTGTTTAAATGAAGCTACTGTTAGGACATTGGTTCACGGGGTTTTCCGTTGCGTTGATCCGAGTAAGGCGTTTGTGTTGTTGTCTGAGTTTTTAGATAGGGAGGAGCGTGGTGGTTTTGGTAAGTTAGCTTGTGATACAGTATTGCATTGCCTTGCGAATAACTCTATGGCGAAAGAAATGGCCGTGTTTATTAGAAAAGCATTTGCTAGAGGTTATGTTCCCGAAAGTTCTGTTTTCAATGTTATAATGGCTTGTTTGGTTAAGGGAGTTGAATCGAGAGAAGCATGCGAGATATTTGAAATTTTCAGGAAGCAAGGTGTCAAGCCGGGTATTGGTACTTATTTTATACTTGTTGAAGCTTTGTACAAGGATGAACAGAGAGAGGAAGGGGATCGAATATCCGATCAAATGATTAACGACGGGTTGATTTCGAATGTCGTTTCATATAACATGTTGATTAATTGCTTCTGCAAAGCAAACATGATGGACAAAGCATCCGAGGTTTTTAGAGAGATGAAACTTAGAGGCTTCACTCCTAACCTTGTTACTTTCAATATCCTTATTAATAGCCATTGCAAAGATGGATCAATAGTTAAGGCACAAGAGTTGCTAGAGATGGTTTTAGAAAACGGACTTAAACCTGATATCTTCACTTTTAGTTCTATTATTGATGGACTATGTCGAAGAAAGAGGACCGAGGAAGCTTTTGAATGTTTTAATGAGATGATTGAGTGGGGTGTCAAACCAAATGCTATTATTTACAATATCTTGATTCGGTCTTTATGTAGCGTTGGCGATGTTGCGAGATCAACGAAACTTTTAAGAAGAATGCAAGAGGAAGGAATAAGCCCTGATACATATTCCTATAACTCTTTGATTCAAATTTTCTGTAGGACGAATAGGGTTGAGAAAGCTAAAAAGCTTTTCGATTCAATGTCGAAATCTGGCCTGAATCCTGACAGTTACACGTATAGTGCTTTTATAGAGGCACTGTCTGTGTCTGGGAGATTAGAGGAAGCCAAGAAAATGTTTTACTCGATGGAGCAAAATGGTTGCTCTCCTGATTCATATGTATGTAACTTGATTGTTAAGGCATTGGTTCGGCAAGATTGTGTTGAAGAGGCTCAAATGATCGTAGAAAGATGCAGACAGAAAGGAATATCTTTGAATTGTATTCCTGATTCATAGACTGGTCTTTGGATGGTGGTACATTTTTGACAGTTTTGCAGAGAAGATATTGAAACAGGATACAGGTACCTTAGATTATAAAGATCTGTTGACATGGAGGATTTGTGATATCTCTTTAGTACCGACACCTATGAGAACAGGCGCGTCCGTGTCAGTGTTAGTGCCGGACACCGGCACAACTCCGACACTTGTGATTACATTCAACTTATTCATTTATTTAAATTATTACACATGTCGACGTGTCAGTGTCGGTGTCGTGTTTGTATGATACGGTAGGATGCATAAGTTAGTTATGCTTATGCAGATGTATGTACTTAATAACTCATTGGGTTCTAATTGAATTTTGAAGATCTTTGTTAGAAACTTTAAATGTTAGTAAGAGTTTATATTATATATACCAATATATATTCGTTAACTTGATAAAAGTCATGACAACAATCAAGTGATTATCTGTATGTTACCTTCACAGTATCTGTCTGGTAGAAAAGTCAAACTGAATTCGGCTGTAACCTCTCTCTGATTTGATCCAGCTTGTTATTTCCTTATTACTGCAAGAGTTTCTATGTCTTGGCTATGAAGCACAGACACCCAAAACATTATCCCGATACTGACACGGCAACACCGGTAACAATTTGAACTTGTGGTTAAAAACCCCTTAGAAATATTAACTGCTCCATCTGTGCAAAAGGAATCTTCAAATTTCTTCTGCTCAACAGAATTACCAACTTGAATACCAGATGCATAGTTTTTCGTATCAGCAGGTTCCTTATCTGACATTAGCATATTGCCAGTGACATGTCCTTATCCTTGCTCCAAGTGCTTTTCTCTTCCTGCAGTATATGAGTTAGATTTATGTCATCATCTTGTATTACAAATATCTCTTCAGGTGGAGGAAAAGAAGTCTGCTTTCTGTTTCTTCTTAAAATCATGTTTGAATTGCTCTCTTTCATTTGATTAGAGCAGTTGTCTTTCAAAACTTGTGTCTGCTCCTTATTTGTGTTTTCATTTACTCATAAAATTTGTGTGCCAATACGTAGTAAAATCTATGAATCTTATATTGCTTTCAGTTGACATCCGTTTCTCCTGAAGCACTGAGTGCAGCAGTTGGTGAAATTGAAGAGGTGGTTCATATGAATGATGAAATACCAGAGATGGTTGTTGAACAAGGACTACCAATCTTCATTACTCCCCTAGGTGCGGTGTCGCCACTACTCACCTACTTTTGGATGTGTAAGGATTAATTCCAGATTCTATTTACATTAAAATTATGTAACAATGTCATTATATGATCCTGTTTTGGCATAATTGTCTAAATAGTATATATAACAGTTCCAATCCTGTTTCTATATTTTTCTCAATTCAAAAGTCATTTTTGACAGGAAAGAAAAAGTTTCATGACATAGTGGATTCTTTAAAAGGTGTAGCTCATTTATGTCTATGTAATATGCACATCAAACTTGTGTCTATCATACTGATCAAATTTGACATTAAACACTAACAATTTCTATCTGCTCATATACATTAAAGTAATATTGGGATTTGTGTTACAATATTTATAGGTTGTCCGAATCTATTTGCTTCCTGAGTTTCAGTTTGTCCAAGTTTTCGTTGTTGGAATCCAGGTACATTTCATAATTGCTTTTGACGAACATCATGGAAGAATAAAGGCATTGAACCTCAGTAATATGGGCCTTCAAGGTACCATTTCACCTCAATTGGGAAATCTCTCTTTCCTTGCTGTTCTTGACTTACGAGGCAATAATTTTCATGGTGAGTTACCGCAAGAGTTACTTCAATTGCATAGATTTATGTTTTTAGATTGGAAACACTCTTATGTTTTCGAAAGTATGCTGATGTGCTTTCAACTCAAATAATCATAGTTAAGCTTGATCTTACAGATGCCTAAACATAATCACATTCTCTGCGTAGGCTTTGTAGTAGATTCTGATAGAGTTGATAATGTATGAAAATGAATCTTTTGGAAAAGGCTAAATTAGGAAAATTTATTGTACATCTTTTAAACAAGTTTTTCTGAAAACTCCCTCCTATGGCTGATTTAACACTTGGTATACCTTGAACTGGTTTGAACATGTTGATAGGTTTTTCAACTCTCTCAGTCTATATTTTGGAGAAAGTCATTAAAAGTTATGCAATTGTATGGATCAAAGTAATGATATTTATCTCTGTGTAGCATCTAGCTCATTGTTTGGGTTTGTTTTATTTTGCAGGCCATGGTTGCTCGTGGGGACCTTGGAGCTGATCCAATAGAAGAAGTTCTTTTATTGCAGGTAATCTCATTCTCAGAACATGATATGTATGTCATAATGTTGGTTGTGTGTTATGGCCTTTGGAACTTCTAATATATTATCATTAGAAATTTCAGTATGAAAGAATCTGTTCTGCTTTTGTTTCAGGTACACTGTACAAGTATCTTGATAATTTTCTTAGGAACTGGATATGTTGTCCACTGAAAGATGCTGAAGGAATTAATAATAGGTTTGATGTGGTAGAGCTGCTCTTAAATAACTCTTCACTCGCTGTTAAATAACTCCTTTTTCTTACATGTTTATCTAAATAAATTTGCCCATGAAGGAATACTTAAATATTTTTATAAATTGTGTCAAAACAATTATATTTTTTATATAGGTCAAATAAGTGTATTGTTGATTCAAATATTATTATAAATACGCATTTTATTGAAAATTATATAATTAAATAATTATTAAATAAATGTGTGTAATTGATGTACATACAAGAAAAAATATAATAAAGATTGACGTTTACATTTCATCTCCCACATATTATTATTAAGTTTTTCTTTTTTAAATAACTTCTTATTTTTATTACAGTCTACAAACAAATGTGTGTCTAATATCATATTCCATCCAAAAACGTAACTCGTGTGCGTACACACGGTTCATTTATAAAATTAGTATATATTATCATAAATTTTATGGTAGAATATATTTGATTAAATTGAAAACAAAATTAGTTGAATTTAAATGCATGTGAATAAAGTGTAATATATAACTGATTTTAAAATTTATTTTTAATAAATTTGGTTTTATTTTATTTTTAAAGTAGCACGTACGGGACACAATCAATTAAATCTAGACAAGAAAATATTCATACATATTGCATTCAATGTATATGTATGTATATGTAATGAGTCAATAAATTTTATTTTTTCATATCGTGAAAATTAAATGAAACAAGAAAAATGAAACTATTGATCCAATTATGTAGTGAGTCAATAAAACTTCAATAAATTTTATTTTTTTATATTGTTGAAATTATATGAAACGAGAAAACTGAAACTACTCATTCAAATATTGAATAATACAAATTTTAATAGTTTTTATTTTAAATCATATTATTTATAATATTGTTATTTACATTACATGTATTAATATTTTAACTTAAATTTATTATTATTCTTTAATTTTTTTTTCAACTTCCAATTTTTATAACAGTTTATAAACAAATAGGCGTCCAAAACAATATCCCACCTAAAAATATTTGTTGTTTGGTTTTGTACTCATTGCTGAATATTACAATGTCTAGATTAGGAGTTAAAATACTATTGTTATAAACCTAAACAAATTTATTATTGATTCAAATATTTTTATAAATATTATTAAAATAAAAATAATATTTTGTATCAAATATTTCTATATACAGAAGGAGTATATTGATTCAAATATTTTTATAGTGTCAAAACAAAAATAATATTTATATATAAAAAAATTAATTGTTGATTAAAGTACTTCTATATACGAGAAAAAATATCATTATTATAAACAGAAACAAAGTTACTATTGATCCAAATATTAAATAAAAGAAATTTATCGACCACATATTTCAAATATATGAAAAAGATTAAAGAAACTTATTAAAAAATATTGGATAGATATTTAAAAAGTGTATTCTCTTTTATAAAATAATATCTTATTTGTAAAAAAAAAAAAACTAAAACGATAATTTATCAATTATCTAATACAATTTTCAATAGTTTTTAATTTTATTCATATTATTCTTGACATTGTTATTTAACTTTCATTTTTTACATTTATTATTATTTCAACTTAAATTTACTATTATTTTTAATTTTTTTTTCTTTTTTTAACTTTCAATTTTTATGACAATTTACAAATAAATATGATTCAAAATTATATCTCACAAAAAAACGTATCTCAGTGCATAGGCACGAGTTTGTTCCTAGTATATACTATAATATATACATATCTATGTATAATGGCAGCCATTCAATCGAAGGTTGTATGTGCAAGTCTCTAAATTCAAAACAAGGCCTTCAAGGCTACAGGATTTTAGGATAGCCATTATTAATAAATAGCTTTAACGTTATTAGTTTTAGCCATAGACCTTGAAGCACTTGTCTTGGTCTATATTTTAGTTAATTAATGTACATTTACTTAATCTTAAGCACATGCAAAAATCACAGCATGTTCTGAATAAAGGCCTCAATTTGAGCCAAACTCTTCGTTCCACTTCTCTAGCTCTTCCCATTTACTTTTGTTTAAACTTGGTCTAATAACAGACATCGCTTTCTTGAAATCCTCATACCTCAGTCCTCTTACCTGGTAAAACCGGAAAAATAAAAATAGTTAACACTCAACAACAAAGGAAGATTTTTGCTTACAAGATTAAAACTCGGCAACAACATTAAAGCAATTTGAAACCGACATGCCTGATTTGCCTTGACAGTAAGAATGTTTGAACCCAGCTCTCTAATTGGCATCATTGCAGCTTCTTCACACAAGGCTTGCAAATCACTTCCAGAGTATCCTGTAAACAAAGTAAAACAATTATAATGGAGATATTTCTACACAAAAAACCAAAAAAGAATGAAGAGGATAAGAATATCTCAACATATTCATTTCCTTCTCATCATCATGACTCAATCTATAATTACCTTCAGTCTCTTTTACAAGCGTTTCTAGATCTCTACCTGTAACAAAATAATAAAAATAAAAAGTTAAAAAAATAGTAGTGAGTAATAACAAGTAAATTTAATTTGTGCAAATTTGGCACAGAACTAGAATAAACAAAGGCATAAGGCAATCACCACACACACACACACACAAAACACATATTACTTACTAGGTAAAGAGAATGATTGACCCTTGAGTTTGTGTTTTAGCAGAAGTTTCCGAACATTTTCATTTGGTAAAGGTACGTATATTCTCTTAACCTAGCAGAGTTAAAACAAGAACAGAGTTGGTACAACAGATGCATGTGGTTCAAGTTCATTTTAATTTTATAACTACAACAATTCATGATAATGAAGAAATTCTCACCAGTCTTCTAAGAACTGCATCATCCAGTTCCTGTGGCTTATTGGTCGCACCTATATTCAAAAGGATGAGGAAATTTATGCACATTTAATGAGACTAATAGATACACGGCCGGAAACTAAATTAAATATAAACTTATTCTATCTCTCAATATTATCTAGCTTAAGGCATTTTATGAAATTAAAAAAAAAACTGACAAAGCAAGCAATTGCAGATTTACAATCGCCATAATTTAGTTTTCATCCATCAATATACAAAGGCCATATGCTTAGGAGGCAGATTAGGATGGAAATCAGGCCCAAATGGGAGTTAATAATAATATTGCTCTGAACATACAACAAAATGATGAGATACAATTGATTTTTAAAATGAAACAAAATAGGATAACATAATCATTCTGTAATGATCTAATGGGTTTGACTCTTCTAAAGTGAATTTTATTCTCTAAAGTGCACTCCTATCCTATTTTTAAAGCAGTTGAATTACTCCGGAACAATCCCAAAGCCGATTTAACAGCTATAATTACTCTCTACATGTTAAAAATAAAGATGACACTACATTATTCGTACGAAAATTTTTAGAAAATTCAAGTCATAAGGTTTTCCATGACTTAGTCAAATTCCAGCATTCCTTAATAGGAATTTTAACCATATAACGTCATTGTCTAAGGGGAACCGAGATGAGCAACTGCAACTAGCCAATCATCCCAAAATAGACAAACACGAGCTCTGCCCATGGTAGACAGGCTGCAACCATTATAAAGATTCTAAACTAAAACCATGTTCTTGGTAGACGCTATGCTCTGCCAATTACTAGCAGATTGGGTCTAAAGTCTAAACTGTGCTTATTCCAGAAAGAGAATGATTAACATCAGATGTAGTGCTTACCAATTACAATCACAATATCATCAGGATTGGATGTCACCCCATCAAACTGGATAAGAAATTCAGATTTTAATCGTCTGCTAGCCTCATTTTCATTTGCCGTCCTTGTTGACATTATACTATCAATCTGTAGTCAGATAAAAAGATCATTAATATTAAATGCAAGGGTTAGGTTCGAAGAGTTATTGAACAATATCTTCAAAGAATTAATTTTGAAATAGTCAATTGCTCTTTGAGAAAGAAAAAATAGTTGCACTGTCCCTAAACATATTCGTTCATTACAGTCTGTCTTGTTGTCATATCTTAGTAGCAGGAGTAGGGGATGGTGGTCTCTACCCTATAGATGAGAGAGATACCTCATCAATGAAAATTACAGATGGCTGTCTTGACGTTGCCACCATGAATAGTGTTCGTACAAGCTTTTCAGCTTCACCCACCTATTGAGTACATGTTAACCATGGTGAAAATTTAAGTATTAGCAATTAATATAAATGAAATGAAACTCAACACAAACAAGTTAGGGTGTGTGGATAAAGATGTACCCATTTTGATGTCAAAGAAGCTGCCGTGACATTAAAAAAAGTTGCTTCTGATTCCGATGCCACTGCTTTGGCAAGCATGGTCTTACCATTACCAGGTGGACCAAAGAGAAGCAAACCTAGAATGAAAAGGTTCAGCAGTTTCAAAATTTGGCATTTCGATTCTAAAATTTACATCATTATCTATTACATAACCCAAAGTGGTGAGGTTCCAGGGCAACACCTCTAGCTGGCCTTCGAAGACCAGTGAACAAGTCTCTTCTCTTAGTTGGTAAAATCACCATCTCCATTAAAGCTTGCTTTGCCTTTTCAAGGCCACCTACATTTTGATAAGAATCAAATAAACGGTAACAGGTATAAGTAAAAACCAAGTGTGCTTAGATTCTTACCAACATCATCCCATCGAACAGAAGGACTTCTGTCTACAATGGCAGTGTTAATCATTTCAACCAGTTTTGTGTCATAATTTGCACCAGATGTTTGACTAGATTTTGGGCTTGGAACTTTATTCACGTCATCTTTTCTTTGAGGATTTTTTTGTAACACTTTTTTTGTAGTATTTGACAGTTTAGATGGAATTGCAGCAGTTTGTGCAATGTTTGAGTTTGAGGTGCTCTGCAAACATTTTTGGGGAAAGCGAAAGGGATGTTAAAGTTTCATATAATCATAAACTCAGTACGGAATTCCCAATGTTCAGTGAATCAGACAGTAAATATTCAAGTACAATGCTAACTCACCATACTCTCTTTGATCACTATTATGAGCAAAAAAAATGCTTCAAATATTGGTCAACATTATAAGCAAAAGTTAACTACTTTTCAGCTATTTAATGTTGTTATTTTCTATGTTGTTAATTCCAGAAAATGTCATGTAGCAGCAACCCCCTAAAATGCTACAGGGGTATATTGGATAGCGGGATAGACGCTATTGCAAAAACTAAATATCAGTGTACAAAATAAATATAAATACTCAAAAATAGAAAAATACACAATTAAAGAAACTATCACACTTAATTATTAAAGATCCTATAGCACAAACAATTAAACTTAAATAGGGGAGAAGAACATAACATAGTTGAACAAAAAGTAGGAAGAAGAACATAACGATTGTTTGTGAGTAAGAACATAGCTGAATGACAACGGTTTGAAAAAAAGGTTTTTGAAGAACTTTCGCCCCAAAACTCTAATTGCGGACACGATAGCATTTTGGGGCCGCCGTAGAACCACTGTAGTGCGCTAAGACAACATAGATTATTTATAATACACCCATCATTTAATTCAAAAACATTTAATGCAGATAATTGAATGAGTTTTTCACTAAATATCAAAAAGAATAATTTAGCAAATTTGACTTATGTTATACATGAAATCTAGAAAATTTATTGCACTTAACTAAATTTCTTAATCATCGTGAAAGTAGAATTTTTTTATAATAGTGACCGGAGGTAGTGTTTAAAGAAGCACCGGCTGCACTGAAGCAAAAAGGAGGAAAACAAAAAAACATACTTACAGACAGTTTAGAGAGATCATAGCATACCTGATTGGAAAATGAGCTGCCTGGATTGGTAAAAGAGGAAGATGAACAATTGGAGGGTGAAAAAATGATAAGAATTCTTGGAAAAATCATAATGGAAATGGAAAAACGGAGACGATTTCTGAAACAGATGCAAACCTGCCCGTCTATTAAGAGCCTGCAATCTCTCAGAAACTTGTCCCTGCCATTTTGATATCTTTTGACGATATGATTGTACCTTCTGTTTCTCACTGTCACAGAATCATAGATTCCAGTAAGAAAAAAAACAAAACATAATAGGAACCCTCTTTTGTCATTAAGCCACTAAGCAACAGTGTTAATGAAGTGAGTGGACTATATATAAGCTGTTACATAGCCAAAGGCTGTCTAATATGATTAAGTGTATGTTTGGTTTCACGGTTGGAGTACTTAGAATTGATTGGAGCACTTAGAATTGATTCAGGATGTGTAGAATTGATTTTTTACAAGTTTGGTTGCTCTTGAGTAGAATTGATTCTACTTGAAGCTAGGATTTGTAGCTTTTAAGTCTAAACGTGATTTTTACACTGAAATTTGTTGTTCAGCTCACTTTCGCAAGAATGTATCCAAACATAACCACTTTACCTTCAACCCACTTTTAGGCTGAATAAATTTTATAAAATCAACATAACCAAACCAAACACACGCTAATTGTGAAGTTCAAAACTGAACAATTTGGAAGCTGAAAACAGGCAAAACAAAAAGGGAATACAGGATACCAAATATACCAAATTTTCTATTATCACTAAGGCGAGGATTGGATTAACTTCTAAACTAAACTAGCTCTAAACCTTCAATTAAAACATGGATTAAGTTGTAACAATGTTTCTTTGTGATTCAACTATTAAACCACTAATTTATTTATGCAATTCCAAAATCGCAACATTCAACATCCACCCTAACTAACAAAATCCACGCACACATCCTTCAAATTTCATATATTCGATTACCAAATCAAAAACTCAACATCAATATATCAACCAGCGATCAACAAAACCGAACCTAGAAGTGATGAAGGAAGGAACAGGAGTTGAATTAGCTTCGAGAAGGATCCTTTGAGCATTCCTGTAGTGAAGAATAGCGTCATCAATCAATACCCACTCTTCAGCCCTAACAGCTTTATCGATCTCTTGTGTGGCCAAATCGAAGTATCCTTTGAGCTTATAAGCGACGCGTTCGTTGGAAATCGAAGAAGGAGAAGCTTCCATTGCAGTGAGATTGGTTTGAGAAGAAGAAGAAGAATTGGGATCGAAGGATTGAGGAGAGAAAACAGAGTTAAAGGAATCAATGATTCCCTGCAAGAAACTCATCCCTCGCGAAAACGCACGCGGTTTTCATAATATCATAAATGATTAATGCAATGCTGAAAAAGGCTATTTTTTCCACTTGCAATTAAAAGTTAAGGACATAATTTTTTTTTAATCTTTGCTTTAATTATAACTTTAGACTTTAGTCTTTCTTTTATCAATTTTTTTTTTTAAGTATTGATCTCCTATTTTAAAAAATTGATTTATGTCCTTTATTATGTTATTTGGAGGGTTTTAGTCTCCATTATCATATGGCAGTTGATTTTGGTGATGTGGCAATGCTTAAGAGTTTTAAATTATTTTTTCAGTTCCAACTCATTTAGTTTTTTATAATGATTTTTTAAGACTTAAACAATTATTTTTTTTAAAAAAATGTTTAAACAATTTTTTTAAAACCTTAAGATCAGGATCATTTCATTTAGTTATTAACAGTACCCTATTTTCTCGAAAATCATGAATTTTAAAATTGAAATGGATGTTTTGTTTTCGTCATCTACTTTGTCTTTTCCATAATACATGTATTTCTTCATCAATATTGTTATTTATATTTCTTCAATTGCAATCAGTGACGTTCTTCATTAATATTGTTGTCGTATTTCTTCATCGACCTAGTCTACGTGAGTATTCAAAATGTCATGTCCCTTTTATTTAAAGTTGCAGTATATGATTTCTAAAAGATTGGTGCAGTATGTGTTCAATTTCCATTTATTTTCTGTTGTTTTAGTCTTTGTGGTCCCAAAATAATGTAGTGGTTATTTTATAACAAAGTTGTGGTCCCTCATGTATGTGAAATTGTTATTATATAAGGCTTGCGTAGGTCAACTGATACACAAAATGCCTGGCTTTGAATACACCATAGGAGACAATTGGCCACCCATCTTATAATGTGGTATGTTGGTGAAACTGTGTCTGAAATGAATTGGGATTGGGACGTGGACTTAATATCCTATATGAAAGTTGAACAAATGATTAAAAAAATAAAGGTCATCTAAATATAAAGTGTCTTTGTTATTGGAACTCTAGGTTTTCTTTTGCTCGAGGGCCTGGACAGTTGAATAATGACCAAGATGTTTTAACTTTTATTGAAGATGTTAAAGAGTTTAAGGTAATTGATATATACATCAAACACAATGTTAACATACCTGATGTGGTTAAAGTTGGTGTGAACATGGAAGATGTAATTGGAGTGAATGTGGAAGATGTAACTGATGTGAATGTTGAAGATGTAATTGGTGTGAATGTGGATGATGATGAAGCTGGTGTGAGTGTGGAAGATGTAACTGAGGTGAATGTGGATGATGTAACTGGTGTGAATGTGGATGATGATGAAGATGGTGTGAGTGTGAAAGATGTAATTGGAGTGGATGTGGATGATGATGTAATTAGGGTGAATGTGGAGGATGATGAAAGTGAAATTGATCTTGATTATGAGGAAAGTGAGAAAGATGATGATGAAAGTGAAACTGATTCTAATTTAGGCCTTGATTTTAGCGTAGATTGGACAACTGCTTTTTCCAATGAATAAACTAAACGTTCTCCACATTTTGATAACGAGGGTTGTGATTCAAATGAGTTGCACACCCCACTAGAAAGTAACGTTGAATATGAGATGAATATGTTCCCAACTTTTAAGGAAAGCACTAAATTTGAATTTGACATCATGTTCAAAGATACATTGCAAATCGGAGATGTTATAAAAGAATATGCAATGGATAAGAAGAAGAACATTGTTCTTAAAAATGATAAGAAGAGAATGGTGGTATGATGCATGTGAGTTTGTCCCTTTTATATAAGGTTTAATATGAGGACTGCCAATCAATTTAGACAACTTGTTAGCTTGAATGAGGAACATAAATGTCATAGGACACCTAAGAATAAACAAACAAAAACTGATTGATTAGCTTGCAAATTTTTTTATACATTAATACACAGTCATGATATGAGAACTAAAGGTTTGATTGTAGAATCCGTGAAAAAATGGGGAGTGAAGTTGTCTAAGAGCCAAAAGAAAAGCATTAAATTTTATTCAAGGTGTTGATTGTGAGTAATTTAGACACTTGAGGAGGTATGCTTATGAATTGCTAAAGTCAAATCTAAACTCTACAATTAAGATCCAATGTGCTGATTCAAGAAGCGGTCCTACTTTTGAGAGAATTTATGTATGCTTGGAAGCATGTAAGGCTGCATTTGCCACCACATTTAGACCTTTAATTGGATTAGATGCATGTTTTTTTAAAAAGAGGACTTTGGAGGTCAATTGATAGTTTTTGTTGGTAAGAATATAAATAATAAGATGATATCCATAGCATATGAAATTGTTGAAGTCGAAACAAAAGACTCATAGCAGTGGTTCCTAAAGTTGTTACTTGATGATTTGTAAGTCATCCAACACAAGGTCTATGGATTTATCTAAGATCAATAAAAGGTATTCCATTATGTTACTTGCTTAATGGAATTACTTTATAAAGGTATTCCATTATGTTACTTACATAATGTTACTTAATTAATGTCAAGGATTGGTGCCAGTTACTCTAGAGATAAGCCAATGTGTTGAACATAGATTGTGTGTTAAATATTTATATGGCAACTAGAGGAATAAATATCCTGAGATAGAATTAAAGGAAGCTTCATGGAGAGTAGCTATGGCTACAATAATACGTGGATGATAGGGAGCAATGAATAATATGAAAGCACTAAATGTTAGTGCTTAGAAAGACATGATGAGTGTGTCTGATGTATATTGGAGTGTATCTCATTCTAAGTCGAATACACATTGTAACTTGCAAGGCAAATGATGAGCCTAGAAGCACAAATACTTTACCCAGAAATCTTTAAATGGTGAAATGTAAAAAGTGAGGGAATTTATGACACAATAAGCGAACATGCAAAGGGTAAAGGGCGGCTGAAAGGGAAATACCTAAAGGTGGAAATAAAAAGACAAAGACAAAGGTAAAGAAGACAACGAAGGGTGATGGACCAACTATTATAGAAGGAGGGTCTCAAGCACCATAATCTACCTAAGAATAGTTTAAGTTATTTTCTATTTTTTGAAGCAAGCGTTGGTCAAACTGTTTAGTCCTACATTTAGCTTATGTAATGAATGAATATACATTACTTCTAGGTTTATCATGTTTTTATGCTATGGTATTTTGATATGATCTTGAACAAATTGTTTAGTCCAACATAATATGGTTAAATTTTCGTTCTGGTTCAATTTGTAAATGGTTAGATTATGGGCAAGTTGTTTTCTATGAAATGATTATAGGTTATGGTTTAATTTGTTAATGGTTCAAATTTTCTTTTGTATGAAATGATTATAGATTATGGTTCAATTTTTCATTAGTTCAAATACCGTTCTATATAAATACTATATTATAGGTACTATGAACAATATAGGTTTGGTGTAGTATGAATGAAATGTCCTATGAACATTATAGGTACCGTGAACAATACAGGCTTGTTGTAGTATGCATTCATGTTTGGTGTAGTTTGAATGAAACTTGAATGTAAAATAGGCACATTCATGTAAAACAGATATTTGTTATTGTATACAAACATGTTTCAAATTGGGTCTGCTATAGTTCATGTCTGCTTGATGGATCTGCTATAATTCATGTTTCAAAATTTCCAAGTTTTCACCTTGATAGAATTTGTTTTCTGCTTGAACAATATGGTTTAATATGATAAACTCTCCCAAACTAGAGCTCACAAACTATTTTATATTGTGTAATATGCTAAACTTTATTTACAATTCATCACATTAATTTACATACTGCAATATGCTACCTTTGGTTCAATATCTCTAGCAACTACTAACTATATTTATAGTTCCTCACATTAATTCACATACTGCAATATTCTAAATACAAAACAACTCACATTAATTCACATGTATTTGTCAACATTACAATTCAAGTATGCCATTTCTGAATTTGTCAGCATTACAATTCGAGCACATTTGTTTAGAGTTCATCACATTAATTCACATACTGCATTATGATAAATACAAGTTGTTGCACCCCAAAATTTGCTCAACCTCTTTTTGCCTGGTTTATGTTTCATTGCATTATCATTTGCATAGTTCTATCATTTGCATATCATGGCATATCATTCATCCAATAGGGGATCAAGTGTGATTATTATCAAGAGAAGCCTAGCAAGAAATCTTATCCAAACTTGAGAAGTCATCCAAGTCATCAGGAGGTGGTGGGAGGTCTTGATCAGCTGAGGACCATCAATGGAATGTGAAGCATGAGGTGTGAATATGAGATGTGTATAGAGCTCATGGAGTTCCTAGAGAGCCATATTGGAGCTAAATCAAGTCATTGTGTCAGATGCAAGAGCCACAGTTGAAGTGCAGACAATTAGGGTTTCATCTGGATCAACCCTAGGTCAATTATGCAATTGAAGAGTATCAAAGCCTACTTTTAGGTCATGGAGTTCATGAAATGATGTGATAAGACATTTGTGGTGTTGTGCCAAGATCAAATCAAGAAGAATCAAGAATGTGGGAAGTTGCTAAATTAGGGTTTCAGTGCAAATTACCCTGTTTAGTGCCTAACTTCAAGGCCACATAAGTCAAGATACAAGTTTCAAATGGATCTTTGGCCAACATGAAACTTATATAACATCTCAATACCTTTAATTTGAGTACTATAAATCCTCAAGGGGATTTATAGAACTCAAGTTATGGTCCAGACAAGTTACAGGTCCTCAGATGATTCTGAAATTTGTCTGTGAAAATCATCTGACTTCAAGGCTATTTTTGACCTAGAAGGAGGTTTCACCTGAACTTTTGGTCAACATGAAAGTTGTTCCTCATGATCTTATCTTTCTAAATTGTACTATAAGTCCTCCATCTGATTTGTAGAACTCAAGTTATGAGGTTTACAAGTCAGAGGTATTTTGGGAAAGTGAGATTATATGTCATTTTCAATCATAGGTCCATATCTCTAACTTGCAAGCTTCAAATGGAAATTTGTTCAACATGGAACTTGCTTAAA